ACACGTCCACACTGCCATGTGCGAGCTGTGCTTTTGTGCAAGAGCATCCATGGCAGTGTGGACGCTCTCTTGCCCAAGAAAGCTCCAATGGCCATTTTAGCCATAGGGGTTTCTTGCACAAGAAATCCTTGCCGAGCATCCACACTGCCCTCTTGCACAAGAGAACTACACTTGTTAGAAAAGAGCGTAGCTCTTGAGGAAGTCGCTCTCTCTTACCATGCTGTACTGTAAATTTCCTTGTGCAAGAGCAGGCGGGCAGTGTGGATGCTCTGTGGGTTCTTGTGCAAGAACGGCTGTAAGAACGGATCGTGCAAGAAGCCCCGAGTGTAGACATAGCCTCAGAGGGAACGCTTCCCCCAGCCTCTCTGCCCCCGAGTTAATGTCACATACTTTGAGTTAATGCAACTGCAGGATAGTTGACCCCTGGTTAAATGTTAAGTAGAATAAGTAGCACTTCCCCATTTACTTTCTCCCCACCAGCTATGATTTTATAGACTTCTCTAATATCCCCCACTTTAATAGTCTCTTTTCTGAGCTAAATATTCTCAGTTTTATTCACCACCAAAAGTTATACAGATCTGCCAGCCCTGGAGAAGGAGTGCGTCGGCTGCCTGCTGTGGGTGTGTGTTGGCAGGGGGTGGTTTTTTTTTTGTCAACCAAAATTGCTGTGGGGCCCCGCACTTCCTAAAGCCGGCCCTGCTGGGTGTGACCTCACAATGATGCGTAGGGATGCAGCCAGGTCTTTGAGGCCACATGCTTGATCTGTTTTTCTGTCCTGCACATAATAAAACTTGATGTCCGCAGGTACAAGTCAAGGATACTATGAGGGTTTATTTTTTCCGGTTAATTGAATTCTTCTTCTGTCTAAAACATGATGAAAGGGGAAATATCTGGTTTCTAAGGAAACAGTGTATACACAGCTGACATCTCTGAAAATTAAGGTGAATTAACTCTCAGGAACAAATCTCTTCCTTGAAAGGGGGAGTCAGAGGCCTGCTGGGACGCAGAGAGCGCTGTCATTTGGTGCAAGAGCTCTAGGTGCGTGAGACGGGACAGCTGCTTCCCCTGCTCTGGTGCAGAGAGTAGAGCGTCCATGCGACTGCACACTGAGGGCAACCTCAAAAGTAGGAGCATGTCAGGGAGCATACGGGTGGAGAGCTGGGCTGGACAGTGAGCCCGGAACCCGCATCCCCTCAGAGACAGGGCTAAGCTGGACAACAGCTCCTCGGGCTGAGATCACAGGTTTTGGAGGCCAAGATGCACCCACTCTGGCTCCGGCCACCAGCCTTGTTTCTTGTCCCTGCTCCTGCCAGCTCTGGTTAGTCGGCTCTGGGTTTGTTCTCGCCTCCCCTTGCTCTCAAGGCCTTTAATGAAGTGCAGGGGCGGTGAAAGGTTCACTCCCACCTTTGCTTCCCTTTTCCAGCACTGGAGCCTGAGTGCAGAAACACCCAGCCAAAGTGCCAGGGAGGCTAACCAAGGGGAGGCTGGCGTCACAGCAGGTTTAGCCCAGGTTCTTACCCAGATGTTGCCCCATATCAGCTCCTTGTCCATAAACAAACCCTCTCACCTGAACTTAGTGGTGCTGCCAGCCCAGTCCAAGGTTAGTGCTGGGAGGGGGGGTGTCACCACGGCTGCAGCCCTCTCCCTTTGCAATGAAGCGAGGCTGAACCACTCATACGGGTCTGGGAAAGCCCTTCAGGTACCTCCACACCGTCCCTTCCAGGGGCACAGAAGGGGAAGTGCGTTGTCCCACAGTTCACTGGCAGAGGCTCCGAGCGGCTCAGCACACTGCAGCACAGAGCCCCATGGGCTGCGCCCCACTGGTGAGCATCCAGGAGATGGGTGGGGGTTTGCCATGTGGCTGCTCACACCTGGGTGCTGCTCACCCTAGTTACCGGCTGTGAAGACGCACATATGGGCGCACTGAAACCAGAAGGGGTGTAAAAGCCAGCTGCTGCTGTTTGCTGACGGGCCAGAGATTGCACAGTGCTGAAGAAGGCCCGAGGGGAAAGCAGAGCAGCAGCAGAGGCTGCCCACCTGTGCGGTGGGATAGTCCAGGGACAAGAGGTGGAGTGGTGGCTACAGAGCTGTAGCTCCTGCAAAGATTCTCTGCCTTCAAGAAGAAACTGACTGGTAGGGTCTGAAGGCAACAGGGCAGCATGACCCGTGGGTAGGGGACTGCGTGTCACACCATTGCACAAGGATGGCCCTTGCAGACCAAAATTACACCTGTCTTACATTGTGGAACAGAGGCCAGTGGATGGCATATTTCCAGCAGTATTATTAGTCTCATTTTGTAGCTGGGGAAACTGAAGCACACTGCGAGTTTTGCCTGTGAATGCACTGGGAGCAGCACTAGACCTGGGCAAGTTACCTCTGTAGGTGCTTTTGAAAACCCTAGTAGGCCCCTAGCTGCATTTTTAAGTGCCTACGCATCATTACAATCTGATCCTAAGACTTTCCCATGGCCATGCAGAGACGCAGGGGGATTAGCACCCAGGTCCCTGGTTCTCCGCTTTGGGTTCATTTGTCCCTTTGACACCTTTTGAAACAGCCAGGAAACCCCTCACTTTTGTTTTCAGCCCTATTTTCCATTGTCTCGAGGCACAGGGAGCTATGGAGTTCCAGCTCAGTTGTATGTACTAGCACAGTAGCCAGCCCCACACTCTCATAGGCACCAGAACTCTGTGTTAACTACCTTTATTCCAAACTGCATTTTCAAATAGCAAACAGACACCAGGTCAAAGCCACGTTGCTAACAGTCTTCCTAGCCTCTGATCTCAGAGGGCAAGCTCAGCTGGGAGGCATAATGAAGCCCCTGTGTTTCTGGGGTACAACTAGAGTGAACCCTCCTCTGCCCTGTTGGGAAAAGCTGCAGCACCTTTGGTAATACACCCAGGCTGTGTCTAGACTGCATCCCTTTTCCGTAAAAGGGATGCAAATTAGACACAGCGCAATTGGAAATGAAGCGGGGATTTAAATCTCCCCCGCTTCATTAAAAAAGCGCCAGTCTAGACGGGGATCTTTTGGAAAATAAAGCCTTTTCCGAAAGATCCCTTTTCCTGATTTTAAGAGGAATAAGGGATCTTTTGGAAAAGGCTTTATTTTCCGAAAGATCCCCGTCTAGACTGGCGCTTTTTTCTGGCAAAGCTCCGAGCTGGAAAAAAGCGGCAGCCATGTTTATGCAAATGAAGCGGGGGAGATTTAAATCCCCGCTTCATTTGCAATTGGGCTGTGTCTAATTTGCATCCCTTTTACGGAAAAGGGATGCAGTCTAGACACAGCCCCACAGTAAGTGACTCCTCCTTTGGGCAGGAATGTTTGGGTTTGGAAGGCAACAGGAAGGAAATTGTATTGGTAGCTAGCAACTGAGGGAGGATAAATTGACATGGAGTCAGACCACATACTCAGATAGCTGGGATCTTCTCCACTTGCCTCATGGCAAGTTTCATAGAATTTGACTACTAAATCAGGCCATGGACAATGATATGCCTGCCAGGCCATTTCAGTAATAATGCGATCTATTGGCTTGCTCTTTGGTGGGAGTTTTCAACAGCAAGCCCTGTTCTACACCGTGAGCATGTGTGCCTGCCCCGTGTCCCCTTGAGGTCACCCCACCCGGTGGTTGCAGCAGGCGTGCAGATCCTGGCAGGCAGCGGGGGGAAGATTCTGGTGCTGCTTTTCACCACCAAGGCATGTCTGTGTTGAAGAGTTTCAGATCTGGACTGAGGTGGGGAGGGACATGAAGAACATTAGGGTTCAGCCCGAGGAGATGCATGGCTGCACTTGGAGTTGCACGTGGCTTGGCCATGGAGGGGGAGGGGGATGCCTGTTTAAGAAATGGGGCACTGCTGCACGTCACTAGGTCATTTCTCAGGGGTTATGCCCTTTAAGTAGTAAACCCAGGAAATACCTGCCCCCATGCCCGATGCCCGAGCGCAGGAGACGACTAGCTTGCTGGTGACGGGCATCTTGCTGCCGCTCGGATTCCCCTCGAAGCTGACGGTGATAAAGATGCTCTTCTTGGAGCGGATGGTCTCAACGGCCTTTACGGTAAAAGCTGGGTTCTCCACGCTGTAGGTGAAGGCCGTGTGCTGCAGGAACACGTTCTTGAAGGGAATGGCTGTGTTGGAGCCAGCCTTGATCTGAAAGGGGCCCTGTGGCTTGGGGGGCACCGACACACCGAAGAGCGGGATGTTGTATTCTCCGCCGATGGGGGAAGACAGGAGGAGCGTTGCTCTCGATTCACCCAGCTGGTAGGGTTCATAGGTTACGTCCACGCTGACCTCTGCGCCCCCCTGTGAGCCTGGGGGAGCATTGATCATTTTATCCGTGTGGAAATCTGAGCCATCGATCTGCAAGGGAAGAGAAGGTGCCACTTGGGTTCCGGGAAGGCATTTTAGCTTCTGTGCCCTGGGTCTGACAGAGCCCAGACCTCAGGACCAGGAGGGGTAGCGAGGTAATTTAGCATCAGCAGGATCCTGGGACAAAACATAAGGGGGGGGATCTTTACCATTGTCTAAATGAAATGCACATTCCAGCCGCCTTCATTAGGCCCTGCTCTGAGCACAGGGCTGCCCACACCACACCCAGCCCCAAGTGAACCTCTGGCTGGCTTAACCATTGTGCTTCTGTGGCCTTGGGCAATGACACGCACCGTGGCTAAGGGCAGATCTACGCTTGATCTAAGCAATGCAGCTTGAGCGACCTTCGTAGTGTGATGCAAGTCAATGCAGCTTAGATCTTCTTACACCACGCTGTGCTGGAGGGAGAAATACTCCCCATTCCGGTGAAGTACCGGAGTTGACGTCTGTGGGGCGGGTGGCTGATTTAGTGGGGCTTCACTACACCCACTAAATTGTGCGTGGTGGATCACCTGACGCAGCGTGGGTCCTGGCTGGAGTGCAGACGAGCCCTGTGGTTGCCACCAAAGGGGACAGCTGCATTCCAGTTAATAGCAGCAGCAGCAGCTAGCGCCCATCTAGCACATCAGTAGAGCTCAGAGCACTTTACAAAGGAGAGCAGTGATATTTAGCCCATTTCACAGAGGTGGAAACTGAGGCACAGAGAGGGAAGCTACTTGCCCACTGTCACCAGCAGGTCAGTGGCCAAACTGAGGCTACAGTCCAAGCCTCCAAAGTCCCAGTTCAGTGCTCTGCCTCCTGGGCCACACTGCCACCCTAAGCACCACTGCATTGCAGACCGGCCGAGCCCTCCAGAGAAGAGGACCCCTGCAAAAGGCTCTGCTTTGGTAGTGCAGGCGGGGGAAGGCTGCCTACATTCACCGCTACCTCACCACTGCACTGCAGGCTAGGGCAGGGAAGGGCAGAGCAGTTCTGAGGGGCCATGGACTGCTTAAGAGGGCAGGTCGGGGTGGCCTTAGGGCCACATCTGGGTAGGCAAATTGTGTGTGAGGCTACGAATGCAGGGCTGAAGCAGGAGGCTGGGGCATGGGCGGGGGCTCAGGGCAAGGGCTGCAAGAGGGGGCTTGGGGTGCGGACTCAGTCTGGACACCCCTTACCTTGGGCAACTCCCAGTTAGCAGCCTCGCAGTGCTAAGGCAGGTTCCCCTCCCCCGCCACATGCTGCTCCCGGCTGTGGCCCTCATGTCCAGCAGTGGCTCTTGGTGGGAGGGCCTCGCTGGCAGCCACCGCCCCCGCAGCATCCTCTGGCCGCAGTTCCCGGGTCCCGGCCAACAGGAGCTGCAGGGATGGCACCTGCTAGTGAGGCCAGATGAGCTGGCTGCTTCCAGCGGGCACGAGGCCAGGGAGGGAGGGAACTTGCCTTAGCGCCACGGTGCCACCAGACTGGTAATCCTAAAGGCGGGCTGAAAAGCCCTGGGGCTGTAGTTTGCCCACCCCGGGGCAAGCAGGCTAAGCTGCCTGCTGAATGTTTGTTCCTCCACCCCTGAGAACTTGTGGCTTCCTTACTCTTCGGCTAGCCCCAGAGGAGGGAGGGCGGGGGCATGGGTCACCTTGCTGGTATACTCCGTTCTCTGCCGGGTGTAGTTAATGAACTTGGTGGTGATGCTCTGGCTGCTGCCCAGCATGGCATGGAAGTACAGCGGCTTCTCGGGCCTGGCTGCAGTGGCTTTCAGGTTCAGGTCGTACTGGAAAGAGCCCAAGTCGCTGCTCTGGAGCACCAAGCGCCCACTGACCTCCCCGACTTTCAGGGGCTGGAATTCGAACATGAGCACCCCCTGTCGGAAGAGAGAGTGCAGCCTGATTCATCTGCGTGGGGGCAGAAAGGCTAGTGCCCAGCCCAGGGATGGACACTAGCACTCGGTATATTGCACCGTGGACCGTCACCAGCCGCTGCGATGTCCAGTGCCCTGGCAACCCATCAGCGCCCACTTGTGTGTCTCAACGGCAGCACCATGCAGAAGCAATTGGGTTTACATGGCGGGCAGATGGGTGAGAATTAATCACTTGCCATTTATCAGTTCCTGAGATGTAATGACACGCAAGCAGCCCCCAGCGGGACAGAACGAGAGAAGAAACTGAGGAGGTAACAAAGGTGTTTCGTTGTTTTGACCACTCTGCTTGTGTGTTATGTTCCCCCCTCAGCCCGCGAGCCTGTAAACTCTTTTGGGGACAGGCCTTCTCACTGATAAGTCTGTACCGGCTGAGCCCCAGGGGTAGTCTCCAGGAATCACCGGAACGTTGCTATCAAGACTCTGTTTCTACTTCTCACACCCAGCTCGGAGGGGCACACGATGCATTGGCAGAGTGACGCCCACGTCTGTCGGTCTGTCATTAACCAGTCGTGTCCTTCCTGCTTCGGGGAGAAGTCAAAGCTGCCCCCAGCCCACAGACTCCAGAATAAACGGCATTCTCCACCCAAGTGCCTGTCCATTTGTGCTTGGGGCCGGGGGAGCTCGGTGAAGCCCCGAGCAGCTCGACCCCCCCGGCGGCAGGGGGCAGGGTGCTGAGCTCAGCAAGGCCTACGTGGAAGCAGCTGGATGGGGCACGGAAGGGCGGGCCGACGCCTAGCGGAGCTGCACTGGGAGAAGCAGGGATTGCGCTCTGCGGCAGCACAGCCCTGAGGGACGGACACGGGGCGCCTGACTCGGGCTGGCCTGGCAATCACAGCGGGGCAGGAAGGCCTGTGACAGCTCTGCACGTGGCTGGGCAGGGGTCCCAGGCTTCCCAGCGCTGCAGGGCAGGGAGAGTCTCTCCCCGACCGCTCACATTTCCTAACCCGCCCCGTGTGGCCCTGCAGGGACACAGCCCCAGGAGCAGGTGGGGGCTGTTCCCGCCGGAGCGCACAGCAGGCTAACACCTGGGCCAGGCGCACTGGGCTGCTGACAGTCCTGGCAGAGGGAGGAGTCTGGCTGGGGGAGGCGGCGGGCACAACAAACTGCGGCGGGAGGCTGATGTCGGGCACTCTGCAGTCCGTAGTAAATGCCACCAGGGAAGGCAGAGGGTTTTCGACCTTGATGGAGGAGCAGGTGCTCTGCCGAACAGGGGTCACCAGGTCGATGGTGCTGACCGGACCGGAAGGGATGGCCTTGAATGTGACCAGGTAGAACAAGTACTCCTGCGTCCCCTCGTTGCGAAAGGTGACCTGGAATCAAGTGCAGCAGAGGGATCGTGCAGGCCCTGGGGAGCTGGGCGCTCAGGTCACCTGCCTGCTACGTCCGCCGGGCCGAGAGCAGCGGCCCTGAGCGTTTCCGGGGAGCCCAGGCGCCTGGCTACAGAACAGTCACTTCACTCTGGGCAACTCACAGTTCCAATGTTTGATTTACCATCTTAAAGCCCCCTCCCCCCAAGCAGCAAGCAGGCCGGGGAGTGGCCCTACCTTGGCACTGAAGAGCCCTTCTTTGTAGGAGAAGAAGGTGAGCTTGTAGTCCTTCCTGGCGGAGGCAGGCACTTCCATGTAGTCCAGGCCCTTCAGCGTGGTTGTGACGTCCAGCTTTTCTGGTTTGATCACATCCACTATCACATGGAACCTGGGGAGAGAAACGAGAACAGCCGAAGGCCTATTTCCGCTGCCAACAGGCAGGCTGATTGTTACAGCCAGGGTAAGCCCCCCCCAAAGCCCTGGCGTGCCCCCGCGTCCCTCAGAACACAGGCTGAGCCTGCCTTCCCCTGGGGTGGCACGCCTGCCCGCTTTGCCGAGGCTCTTGGAGCCAGGCTTGTGTTCACGGAGCCCACCTAAGCTATCCCACAATTCCTGGGCCCGGCTTCTGCTCCTCGACAGCTGGTCCAACGCTGCTGTGCGGCTTTTCTGCATTCTACTGAGGATGGACCGAAATGCTGCTGGTCCGTTTTGCTAACCCATCAGAACCACAGATGGAGCCTTGCCATCTTGCCTCAGTGGCCACGTCTCTAGAGTCCATCGCTATTGAACAGTGAGGGTCTGTGGGCAGTCTGAACCCACGGGCCACGGATACCACGTATATCTGTCCAGGCAACCCCTGGAGCACAATGCTCCCCGGCCGCACAGCCTGATCAGCACCTAGGGTGTGTCTAGACTACAGAGTTTTGTCGACAAAAGTGGACTTTTGTCGACAAAACTATACCTGCGTCTACACTACCGCTAAGTTCTATCGACATAACATCAACAGAACTCAGCAGTTTTGTCGCCGCTGGTAAACCTCATTTTACGAGGCATAACGCCTTCTGTTGACAGAGTTCTGTCGACAGAAGGTGTTATTGCATGTAGGGTTGTGTCTAGACTACAGGGTTTTGTTGACAAAGCAGTTTGCTTTGTCGACAGAACTGAATGTAGTCTAGACGCTCTATGTCGACAGAAATTTTGTCGACAGTATCTGTCGACAAAACTTCTGTCAACAAAAGCCTGTAGTCTAACGTACCCTTTGAGTTTTAAAGATAAGAAACTAAGGCTATATCTATATTGACCACTTATTTTGAAATAACCCATGTTATTTAAAAATAAAAGAGTGTGTAGCTACACAGCAAGCCGGTTATTCCAAAATCATTTCAAAATAATGGCTTCTTTCCCCAACTTCTGTATCCCTCATTTCATGAAGAGTAAAAGAATCGAAGGAAGAGTGTTTTTCCTTTGACTTCCTGACGCCCCTGTGACAAGCCTGCTGAAGGCCTAATCATGCATCATTTCTAGAAAGCTCCTGCCCTGTGGATTTGCCCCCCGGCTACTATAGGGAGGGAGATGGACTTTATCTGGCACACACGCTCCCAAAGCCAAGAGGACTGTCAGCCAGGTCCCTGCGCCCTGAGAGAGGGATCAAGGCCCGTCTGATGACACATTGCTGCGTGCCAACCTTGGGCCCAGCCAGTCTCCCTGGGGGCGTTCTGGGAACCCGCCTGGCAGCACAAGCCAGCTTCTTGGCTGGCGGCTGGGAGCTGCTAGAGTATTAGCCCCAGAGATGGAGACAGCATGGAACGCGCCCTTCTGTGCTGCGAGCTAGGAAAGGCCGGGCCCTCCCCACTTTACCTTTGTGGCTTGTTCAGCCAGTTTGAGACTGGGAGCAATTCAGTGTAAGTCGTCTTGCATGGCACCTCGCGGACAATGGTCCCTGAAGACTTAGGGGGCTCTGCAGTCCCCTGCAGGAGGTACAGCAAACCTGTCCCATCAGGCAGCGGGAAGAAGATGGAGCCCTAGAGACAAAGCAAAGCGTGGGTTGGTTCCCCTGACTTCATGCGCCCCTGGTCAGCATCGTTATCTGCTCCTGAGCACGCACACACGCACAGGCCAGAGCTGAACATAAGAATGGCCGTACTGGATCAGACCGAAGGCCCAGCTAGCCCAGTAGCCTGTCTGCCAACAGTGGCCAGCGCCAGGTGCTCCAGACGGGGTGGACCGAAGACAATGGTCAAGTGATTTGTGTCCTGCCATCCATCTCCAGCCTCTGACAAACAGAGGCCAGGGGCACCATTCCTTACCCCCTGGCTAATAGCTTTTTATGGACCTAACCTCCATGTATTTATCTAGCGCTAACTCTGTTCTAGTCCTAGCCATCACAGCCTCCTCTGGCAAGGAGTTCCACAGGTTGACTGTGCACTGTGTGAAGAACAACTTTCTTTTATTAGTTTTTATTAGGTGCCGGTATGAAGCCAACTGCTCTGTGCTGCACGGCCCAGGGAAGTCGGCTGTTTGCGCCAGCCCAGGCAGACGCACTTCAGAGCGAGGCTCATCCTGCAGCCATAAGGAGTTGAGACCGGGCTCTCCTATTCTACCGCTCACCCCAATACTGGGTGGCTGGAACAAAGCAGGCGGGGCCTGGCTGTCACTGCACCATGCTGGTTCTTGGCTGTGCTAGTCTCTGGGTGGCCTTGTGCAGCTGGCAGCGGGACAGGCCATGCCCAGAGATACACCAGCAGCGGGGGAGTGCCAAGATGAGCTGTAGGGTGCTCCGACACCTCCTTCTGCAGTACTTTGGGCAGATCAGCATCCCTGACTCTGCCCCCCGACCCCAACGGCTGTCTAACGAGGGGTCCCAGCAGTCACAAGTGCTCGACAAGCTGGGGAAAGGGGAGCTTTCCCCTGGGGCCCTCATTATCTCTGCCACAATGCTCCAGCTCCCACCTCCTCCTGCAGAGTCCCCCAGGTGGGGATGTGCAGCCTCCCTCTGGCCCCACCCGCTTCAAAGCCTGTTTCCCCTGCTCCCAGCCTTTCCCTCTCCTCCTCGGCACCTCCCTGTTCGCCTGCAAACCAGCTCCCTTGGTAGGGGGCCATATTTTCCTCAAGGGAAAATGGGACTCTCCATGGGGCTGACCTGTGGTGTCCTCTGAGCCCCCTTCCACCTCCCCCAGCCCAAGCTCCCTGCTGCCTGTCAATGCAGGGTTGGCCCATCCTGAGTCGCAGAGGGCTGGCATTACCACTCCCCTTACGTGTGTCCCTCCATGCCCCGCCAGGGGCTGCACCTGCAGCTCGTGGCAAAACGGCATTTGGCCCATTTGCTCATCCACTGACAAGAGCCAACAGGGCAAATGACTATTTTTACCAACCAACGGGGACAGGGCTTCAAACACGGACAGTCCCAGCCAAAGGGCTGTGTGGTCCCCAGGAGCCCGGCTAACATCATAGCAGCCGCAGCACCTTACACTGGGGTTCTTAAGTCTATGTAGCTTGCAGGGTTTTCACTCTTGTCCCTGTTACTTTCCATGGAACTAGCTTCCTCATGTATCTGTAGTTCCGCTTTCTGAAGTGCAATGCTGCTCCGGGGTTTCTTTGGTATTTCTCCTCCTAAAAGGATGCTACATTTCATTGCATGAGGTGGCTGTTCCTGTTATATTCACCTCCTGAACCACATCCTTTGCGCCACTTCAGACTAAATCAAGACTTGCCTCTCCCTTTGGGTTCCAGGTCTAGCCCTCCAAGAAGTAGCTTTTAATGGGGTCTCAACATTTTATCTCCACATGCTGCCCTCACTTAAAATCCTCCATTATCATTGGGCTGTTTGGTTTTGTAGCCTTTCTACTTTCCCTGAGCATGTCGTAATCACCATCACTACTCTGGTCACGTGGCTGGGAGCACGCGCCGTGCTACACTCTTAGTAAAGCGTGGAATTCTGATCCAGGGAATTTGACAGTACCAGTTCATTTAAGATTTTGACTATATTTGCCTCTGCTTTCTTTTCCATCTAGTGCCACCCCTACTGCACTACCGCCCTATCATTCCGATATATTTTGTACCCTGGCATTACTGTGTCCAGTTGATTATCCTCATTCTACCAAGTTGCTGTGATGTCTACTGTAGCAATACCCTCATCTAAACACAGGCACTCACTTTCACCCATCATGGTATTTAGACTTCTAGTATTTGCACACAAGGACATTTACAAGTTTTCAACATTTAGTTGTTTGCTTTCCTGCGATATAACTGACTGGGACTCCTTGTGGGCTGACCTTCTCTACAGTTCCTGCTAGTGCTTTATCAATGTCTATCCTCTCTTCTGCACTAGATATAGAGAGCCCCTGCTAATAAATCCTCCGCATCAGCTCTCAGAAGTGTGTGATGCTCCACACCTGTCAGATTTTCCCCAGCCTTAGCTGAAACACTGCTCTACAACCCCGGTTCATTTGAATGGTGTGCCAGCAATCTGACTGTTTTGGTTTAGGTAGGGCCCAACCTTCCTGAATAGGCTCCCGCTTTCCCCAAAGGGTCCCCAATTCCTAATCAATCTAAATCCCTTCACTGAACACCATTTTCTAATCCACACATTGAGCTCCCACAATTCTGCCTGTCTTCCCAGGCCTTCAGGACCTGGTGTCCTACTTTTCTCTACATCATTGGTACCTGCATGTACCAGACCCTCCCCAGCACTGCCTGTAAGTCTATCTGGCTCTCTCGAGAGGTCTGCACCCAATTCACTGTGTGGTTCTCCCAGTCACTAGCTATACTTCTAATAGTCAGGCTCTCATTTACTAGTCCCTGTATCTCCCTATAACCGGAGTCCCTTCTCCCGGAGGGGTCTCCTCTGTGCAAGGGAAATCATGGCATAGTGCTGTGCAGACCACAGCTACAAGCGGGTTCAAACAAGAGCTGGACAGATTCATGGAGGGAGGGTCCACCAATGGCTGTTGGCCAGGCTGGGCAGGGAGGGTGTCCCTGGGCTTTGTGTGCCAGGGGCTGGGAATGGGCGACAGGAGAGGGATCCCTGGACGATTCCCGGTTCTGTTCACTCCCTCGGGGGCACCTGCACTGGCCCCTGTGGGCCGACAGGGCCCTGGGCTGGCTGGGCCGAGGGTCTGACCCCGTCTGGCCGCTCTCATGACGTCACCTAGAGGGGAGAATCGTTCCCAGACTCAAAGCCTGCAGCTCTCTGTCCCCCAGGGCGTGGTCAGGTCTCTAGCGGGGGAGGGGGCTGCCAGCACTTTCACTCCTCCACAGCCCACACACCTGGTGCTTCTTGTTCTCCGCGTTCATGCTGAGAGGTCTGTACGTGATCTCGTACGGCTTGTTTTGTTGGTGGGCCTCCACCAGGAGGAATTCGGGCCCTTTCCAGTGTTCCCCCTCAATGATGGGCTGCAGGTTCCATGCCTGGTTGCTCCGGTTGGAGAGCATGATAGTCTGGGTGTGCTTGCCACGCACCTGACACGTGAAATTCATCACCTGCAAGAGAGGGGCACACAGAGGTCTCATTCCCGGCGGGGATCCCTGGCCCAGTGGGGGGGTGCAGGTACCCCTGCCCATGTGCAGAGACAGGGAAGGGAGCGGGTGGAAGGAGGCAGGCAGGTATGGACACAGGCACAGAGCCCCCCTTACAAGAGCGATTTACGTGGAGGGCCCAATTCTGCAGCCTTACTCGGCCCAACGCAGAGGGGCTCCTCGTGTGCGCGGAATGAGCCAGCCTCACTCACAGGCCTCCCTGTGGACTGGCTGGTGGGCTCAGGCTGACCCGTGCGTTTGGAATTCAGGGGCACTGTGGGGCCCGGCCGTCAGGGCACGTTCCCATTCCTGGCTCTCCCTTCACAAGGTGCCGCCAGCCCACAGGGCGGCCCATGAGGGGTCATGTGAACACGGATGCTTAAGAGTCTCACTTGGCCCTCGGCCTAGAGTTAAAGCTCCGGCTGCAGCACTTTCTCGGGTGCTACTGCTGCCCTCACGTGGAGACGGGACATTCTGTGCCACCAGTTACACCAAGCCAGCTTCCCGGCTGCACTGGGACAGCCCTGCCAGGGCCTCTCTGCCAAGTTACCTCCTTGGTCATGGGCACCGCCACGCAGCATCCCAGCAGGGTGAGCGTGAGCGCCTCGCTGCCCTGGATGGAGCACTGCAGGCTCTCATAGTGGATGTCTGGGTTCAGCTCACAGGGATGGAAGGTCACGTCGAAGGGGACTTCCATTCCGGGGCAGATGTAGCCCTCCACCGGGCTGATGGAGAAATCTGGCTCAAAACTCTTGCTGTCCCATTTAAATCTTTCCAGGAAAAGCAGAAAGGACAAAAGGGCAGATTAGAAGCTGGGCTCCCGTGTGCATCCCAGGCAGGGTTCTCAGACTTTCTGGTGTGTCAGCTCCAGATCCAGCCCCGGGCACGAGAGGTAACTAGGGGGCTTCACAGCTCACAGGTCCCAGCGCCTCGTGCGACAGCACTGGGCTGGCTGGCACGGCTGGGTCTGAGTCTGCAGAACTGGGCCTATGGGGAGGTCACATCCACCACTGCTAACAGGCCATGATCTCCGGGCCCTCTGAGCGGAACAGGCCTAGGGCCAGGATGCCACATCACCTGACGCCGGTGTCGCCCGTGTTCTGCATGAGGATGCGCCGGGAAGCCTGGCTCCGCTGCACCACAGCTCCAAAGGGGATGTGATCCTGGTCCAAGCTCACTTCAATGCCCTGGCAGCAGCCCTGCACCACAAAGAAGGACCGCAGCAGCCCCATGCACTCGAGCATCACCTCCTCCGCAAACTGCGGGATGCGGCACTGCGGGGAGAAAGTCACCTCCACACTGCAGGTGCCCCCCTTGGGCTTCAGGGTGATGTCACTGGACGGAGACAAGCTGAGAACCTGCCCGGACAAATGGCCAAGTGAGAGCTCTGGCCCCTGGAACACAAAGTCCTCCCAGCGACTGAGCGTTACAGGCGAAGGGTCCCCCAGCGGCTTAGTATCATTCCTGGGCTGTCCCATCTTTATTAGCCCAATCCCAATGGCTCCGCGCCTCTCTGACCCTGAATGGGTTAGACACGCCAACGCCCCATCTCCGCCCCAGGCAGGGCCACTCTGACCCTGAATGGGTTAGACACGCCAACGCCCCATCTCCGCCCCAGGCAGGGCCACTCTGACCCTGAATGGGTTAGACACGCCAACGCCCCATCTCCGCCCCAGGCAGGGCCACTCTGACCCTGAATGGGTTAGACACGCCAACGCCCCATCTCCGCCCCAGGCAGGGCCACTCTGACCCTGAATGGGTTAGACACGCCAACGCCCCATCTCCGCCCCAGGCAGGGCCACTCTGACCCTGAATGGGTTAGACACGCCAACGCCCCATCTCCGCCCCAGGCAGGGCCACTCTGACCCTGAATGGGTTAGACACGCCAACGCCCCATCTCCGCCCCAGGCAGGGCCACTCTGACCCTGAATGGGTTAGACACGCCAACGCCCCATCTCCGCCCCAGGCAGGGCCACTCTGACCCTGAATGGGTTAGACACGCCAACGCCCCATCTCCGCCCCAGGCAGGGCCACTCTGACCCTGAATGGGTTAGACACGCCAACGCCCCATCTCCGCCCCAGGCAGGGCCACTCTGACCCTGAATGGGTTAGACACGCCAACGCCCCATCTCCGCCCCAGGCAGGGCCACTCTGACCCTGAATGGGTTAGACACGCCAACGCCCCATCTCCGCCCCAGGCAGGGCCACTCTGACCCTGAATGGGTTAGACACGCCAACGCCCCATCTCCGCCCCAGGCAGGGCCACTCTGACCCTGAATGGGTTAGACACGCCAACGCCCCATCTCCGCCCCAGGCAGGGCCACTCTGACCCTGAATGGGTTAGACACGCCAACGCCCCATCTCCGCCCCAGGCAGGGCCACTCTGACCCTGAATGGGTTAGACACGCCAACGCCCCATCTCCGCCCCAGGCAGGGCCACTCTGACCCTGAATGGGTTAGACACGCCAACGCCCCATCTCCGCCCCAGGCAGGGCCACTCTGACCCTGAATGGGTTAGACACGCCAACGCCCCATCTCTGCCCCAGGCAGGGCCACTCTGACCCTGAATGGGTTAGACACGCCAACGCCCCATCTCTTCAACAGGTGCTGGACCCACTCCAGTCCCTGCTCTGCCCACTCTGCAGTTACGGCCACAGCTTTCGCGAGGGTCTCGCCAGGGCCCTGCACCATAGTGGCTCCGTAGGGCACTTCCCAGGAGACACACCCCAAGGCTGGCAGCCTCCTAGTGGGGAAACGTGCCTGGGGCTTGCAGGAGGGGTCCTGAGAGCCGGGAAGTGGCATGGCCCTCTAGTCTGGGAAGGGGAGAATCTGCAGGTCAAAGCTGGTGAGGTGGCTGAGGAGGGCATGAGCAGCTGGGAGATGGATTCGGAGGGGCAGGGATTGGTAGCTGGGATGTATTTATGTGCCTCCTTCTGGACCGGGAGAGAACAACTTTAGGAAGTTGTGGGGCAGCTGTCTCCAGGGCCAATTCCGACCTTAGCCAGGTTGCTGAGACTAGCAATAAAGGCCACAATTATTCTTATGCTGTTAACACCTGTTCACAGGCACCTGGCCTGAGTCGCATCACACGTGTCCCCAGGCAGCCTCGTCAGCAGTGACTTTTGGTCAACTGAGCCAGGGCCGTCCTTACGCTTCCCGGTCCCCGGAACCATCCTTCTAGATCATGGTGCCCTTCGCCACCTGGACACCTGCACCACTTCCCTCGTGGGGGGCTGCTCCGCAGGGCCAGCAGCTGCGGGGCAGAGAGGCTGGTGGAGGAGCAGGCGGGAGGGGCAGCAGCCCAGCAGCGAGTGGCGTGATGTGAGCAGGGGGCAGCTGTACAGCCAGCCAGCCATGAGCAGCGGCTGGGGGGGGGGGGGGGGGCGGACACACAATGGGTGCATGGGCTGGTTGCTACCGTAGATCTCCAAGGCCTTGCCTTCCATGCCGGGGGCCTGTGGCCTAACCTCGCAGTCCGCACACAGGACCCCGGGAGCCTTGCTGTGCTCGCACTAGGGCTGTTAGAAATCGCCTCATTGAACCTCATGAAGTCTTAGTGGTACCTGCCCAGTCGATAGTCCCTGGAGGCGGGGCGGGCAGCTCCGGCCCCCCAAGCCCCCCTGCCCACCCTGGGAGCAACCAGACACAGGCCAAGGGACCCCCCAGAAGGCAGGGAGGTGGGGCGGGCCCAGGAGATACAGCACCTGCCCCAGGAGGACAGGGTGTGGGTTGGAGTCTCCGCCCAGCAGCCCAAGCCCTGCCCACCCTGGGAGCAACCAGCCAGCCAACACAGGAGGCAGCAGCACAGGGTGCTAGGCAGGAGCTGGTCTGAGAGGGAGCCAGTTTAAAAACCAGCTCCTCTTGCAGTAACATGGGGTGGCAGCAGCCCATCTGGGGAGGAGAGGGTGAGGCTGAGCTCCCAGACCCAGTACGAGGCAGAAGTGAGCTGGGCTGCCTGCCTGCCTGGCTCCTAATACACGTTAAATGCTGAGCTGCAGCAGGGGTATGTCTCGGATTGAGAGCCAGGACTGAGCCAGGCTATCTACCCACCTGGCTCCCAATACACGTTAAATGCTGAGCTGCAGCAGGGGTATGTCTCGGATTGAGAGCCAGGACTGAGCCAGGCTATCTACCCACCTGGCTCCCAATACACGTTAAATGCTGAGCTGCAGCAGGGGTATGTCTCGGATTGAGAGCCAGGACTGAGCCAGGCTATCTACCCACCTGGCTCCCAATACACGTTAAATGCTGAGCTGCAGCAGGGGTATGTCTCGGATTGAGAGCCAGGACTGAGCCAGGCTATCTACCCACCTGGCTCCCAATACACGTTAAATGCTGAGCTGCAGCAGGGGTATGTCTCGGATTGAGAGCCAGGAC